TCCTTATTTTTCTAGACCTAGAAAAAGCCTTTGAGATAGCCAGTGCTCCAGCTACACTGTGCTGCCTTATGGATAAGGAAATCAAAGGACATGCTCTTGCCTTTGCCAAAGAAAGCCTGCTTAACAAAGAAGCTATAGTCAAATTCCAAGGAAAAACATTGTCCTCAAAGAGGCAGGAAAATGGAACTCCGCAGGGAGGAATACTTAGCCCTTTCCTCTTCAACTGTCTCATGGAACAATTCATGAAGCTCAAGTTACCAAAAGCCAAACTGCTTAACTATGCAGACGACTTCATGGTCATCATCAATGGCAAAGGCGCCAGGAACCATGCACAAAAATGTCTAGATATTATCAGCAGGGAAGCGGAATGCATAGTAGTGAAAATAAACAGCAATAAAACCAAAGCAATGGCCGTTAAAATGAGAACTCAAGACATCACCTCGCAATACAAGGTTATGAAATTGAGTGGGTTACCTCTTTTCAATACCTAGGAGTCATAATAGACAGCCAGTTAAAATTCACTCAAGAAATTGAATACCTTCGGCAACGTTGTAAAGCCAGAAACTCGGCTTTGCGCTCCCTGACTAGTCTTAGAGATGGTGCATCCCTACTAGTACTCAAAATGTACTACGTTCAAGCAGTTAGGTCACTCATTGACTATGCTGCTCTTGCTCCTGCTCAGTGATAACCAATGGGAGAAGCTGGATGTGTCTCAAAATGATGCTCTCAGAACAATGCTGGGAGCACCTATATGGACCCGTCGAGAGAATCTAAGAATGGAAACCAACTTACCAGCCTTAGAAAAACAGGATCAAAGAAAGGAGAGCCACCATAACAGCAAAACTTGTTGGAACCACCGTCAGACTGTCAATCAAAGATAGCATACACAGATCACTTCAGAGAAACCTTCAATGTAGAACAAGTGCATGGACAAGGCGCCTGACAGCCGAGTGGACAGTGCTTTGGATTCGTAGTCCTGAGGTTCCGGGTTCGATCCCCGGTGGAGCCAGAGACAAATGGGCAAAAGGTTTCTTTTACCCTGATGCCCCAGTTACTTAGCAGTAAATAAGTACCTGGGAGTTAGACAGCTGCTACGGGCTGCTTCCTGGGGGTGTGTAACAAAAAGGAGGCCTGGTCGAGGACCGGGCTGCTAGGACGCTAAGCCCTGAAATCATCTCAAGATAACAGATAATCTGGTGAAGATTCTAGAGATGGACCATTAAAAACAAACGAGAAGACAGACCACATCAACACTTTCAGCAGCCTCCTCCATGGAAAGAATTGAGTCTAAAGATAATCATTGAAGGATTACCAGTTAAAAAATCAGTGTGACTCGCAGAAGCTCAAAACAGTCATAGAACAACAAATGGAAACCATCTCAAGACCTACAACGACTCACATCTTCACAGATGTTTCAGTTGATCAAGAAAGAGTTTCTGCTGGGGCAGCAGTTTACACTAACAACCATGAAGCTTACTGGAGCATGAATAGTGGGTGCTCAACATTGCAAACAGAATTATATGCCCTGAAGGAGGCCATAAACTATACAATTGAGAATAATTTACATGATGTTATCATTCATTCCGACTAAATCTTCGCTCCAGGCATCGATATCCAGTCAGCACAGAGATAATATACAACTCCTCACAGAAATCCAATATATTGGAAAAGAAGTCCATAATCTAGGATTGTCACTCACCCTTAATTGGTTACCAAATCACATTGGCATAGATGGTAATATAAAGGCACTCACTAGCAAAAACTGCCACTGCTCTATCTGTTGTACAGGTTCAAATTCTGTACCTCCAAGTTTTTTCACAGATTTAAGAGCAAATCAAGAAGAAAATACTCCCAACTATCAAAAGTCTCCACAGAGCCAAAGTAGCAGAAGGAAGATCCACTGCGATATGGTACGAACAAGGCACTGGGTATTACTCCAAGTCTGACAAAAGATATCCAGAGACATTGCAGTAGCCATACACAGACTCAGACTTGGTTACAAGTGCTGCTGGGAGGTAATAAACCTAACAGTTAAAGAGTGTGATATCTGTAGAACAGAAGCAGAGGTGCCACTATTGTGCTACTTACTGGAATGTGAAGCTACTGAAGCCCTGCACATCAAACTCGACATTAATCTAATGACAGCAGCTGCATTAGATGCACATTCCACAGCGACTACAATGATTAGAAAAGCCGTTGAAGAATGGGACTCGCTAGTGAACATTCTGCAACTACATCCGCCACCAAGATAATGTTATTAAAACAATTTTTAATTGTTTTCAAACACTAAAACCAGTGCACTAAAACTGAAGTGAAAAAGATATAGGGAAAAAGGAGGAAACCCCATCTCCATTAAAACTTTGACCCAAAGTAAGAAACTTTGTATCAGAGTACAAAGGTCATCGCGAATAACCGAACTCAATTATGGGCTCACCATAGCCCATGGTACATGGACATTTCGTTCTGAGTAGCTAAATAAAAAACAACAACAACAACGTGGGGGAGCAAGTAAGAGAAATAAGTAAGGTGGGGGAGCAGGTAAGAGGTAAATCCTAGAAGGTAAGAGTAAGGTGAAAGGTAAGAATAGGATGAAAGGTACGAATGGGATGAGTGAAATAATGGGATGAAGGAAGAATGGGATAGGTAAGAATAAGAGGGTAAGAAAAAGGGGGGTAGGCTTATGTCAGGTCATGTTTGTTAGGAAGATTAGAGCATTTGAGTATGTACTGTTAAGAGTCAAAGCAACAAAGCCAGGACTAAGGTTCATGTTGGGTATGTTGTGTATGATTTGATAAGACACATCTGTGAAGAGCAGAAGCAGGAAAGACTATTTTAGAAGAAGACCAATCAATATGATTGATTTTACATCTAGGTCATTTGACGGGTATTAATTTGCTTATCCGGAGACTGATTATGTACCATTTTTTGCACAGGTCTCTGAACATACAGTATGACCTTTCTTGTGTATCTATTAATCTGACATCCTAAACTGCAGGATTCATACATATGCTTGCAAAAATATTCATAATTTTAAACAGCTTTACATTTTGACAATGAAAATAGTTTCCACATGATTCTCATAAGACAGTTACCTAATTGTAGGAAATACTAGTAAATTATTTTATCCAAATATTAAATGGTGGATATCTTCCATAATGACTTATCATTATTTACCCCTACACTGCCATATGCAACTCCACCCCCCCCCCTCATTTGAGTTGTTAATTATATTTAGTCAGGTGCACCTCGATGTGGTACTCTTAAACAGTTGTGCAGTTCAGGGTTTAATTCCCGATGTTGGAAATGGGAAGCTTGCATTCAGGGTTTTGAGAGCCTCACTACTGACCTTACCAAGCATGCAACCCACAACAATGGCATAACCCCCAATACCTATTTACTGCTAGGTGAACAGACGCTTCAGTGAAGGGAAATGTGCCCAACCACGAATCAAACCTCTGGATCCTCAATTGTGAGTCGAGGATGTAGACCACTGTACAGTACTACTGGAATGTATGCAAATGCTATGATGTTGTTTTACTGCACAATGCAGGAAATGGTCTTGAGATGACCAAACTACACAACAGAATATGATGAAACGATGATAATGGTCCAGGATAGACCAAAACAAGTTGTGTGTTAGGGGGAGAGAGATGTTTTAGATTCAGCTACTCTGAACAAGAAGTTCCAAGTAGCACGGGCTATGGTGAGCCTGTAGTGGACTTACCTGCCACAGGAGTGTGCCAGTAACTTTGGAGAGAGAGGATGCTGCTGTTTTAGATTTAGCTGCTCAGAACGAAATGTCCATGTAGCACGGGCTACACGGATATTTATGGCAAGCCCATAAGGGGAGAGAGACAGAGAGGAAGGAACGGGGCAAAGAGTGAGGTGAAGCTCAGGTAAGAGAGGGTAATTTCTAGGTGATGGTAAGGTGGAAGGATAATAAAAAAAAGGAGCTAAGGTGTAAGGTGAGGAACAGGTAAGAGAAGTAATTCCTAGATCAAGGCAATTGTAAGGTGAAGGTAATAGGATGAATGAAGGGTGGGATGAGGTAAGAATAAGAGTAAGAAATAAAACTGGGTAGGCTTAATTCACGTCAAACCTACCCTATTTTATTTTTCTTACACTTCTCTTATTCATATCTCATCCCATTATTACACATCCTTTTGTACCTTTCATCCTATTCTTACCTTTCACCTTACACTTACCTTCATCTGCGAATTATCTTCTCTTGCCTGTTCCTCACTTTACTACCTCTTTTTTTTTTACTATTATTCTTGCATCTTATCACTTCCTAGAAATTATTTTCTCTTACCTGCTCCCGATCTCACTATTTCCTTATTTATTGGCCTGTTCCTTCCTCTCTCCCTGCTCCTGTGCCAGGTAAGTCCACTATGGGCTTACCATAACCCGTGCTACTTCAAACTGTTTGTTTCAAGTAGCTGATCCTAAATCAACAACACCCTCTTCCCCCCCCCAACACACGACTTAATTAATAATGGTCCAGAACGGACCGAAATGTCGTTTCTTCATCTTCTGATGTGTGGTCTGGACTTCATATCTTCAGCCATGTTACTGTGACTCACTGTCTGCAAATGGTCTATTTTTAAACCATCAATGTCTGGATACAGACAACCTTACAATATCTCTATAGGAAATTAGAGCATTTTTTTATGTATCGAACGTTCCTTTATGAGCAACCTTTCTGAAATATTTATTTTGTATATTGGGAGATTTCTTTCAGTATTTGCAAGATGTGTATGGTATATGTTATGTACATCTGTCAATCTGTCTTTCTCAACCATTCTTCAAACACGGCTCTGAAACTTTTTGGTACCAGGTTAATTAACAGTTCATCCAGCATTGCTTTCAGCAACACTTAATAAAAAAAAAAAAGGTAATCACAATCTGAACACTTCCACAACCAATTCTCTTATATTTCCCTACAAATGATGAAAATTATATACAGCAAATCATAGTATGTAAAATGACCCAACATTTACCTCGCATTCCATTAGAACCATATTCAGACGATCTTCTGAAAAGGCATTACGTCCATTTTTCTCATAAACTGCCCAGATGTTGCTTGCAATAGCAGCCGTAACTCGAGCATCACGATCTCCATATCCACTAAATGCCAACAGAGCTCCTTCCAAATTAAGCAACCTGTAAATTATTCTGTTTTTAGTACTGTATGTCAGAACCGATCACAACAAAATACAGCAGCAAGAACACTTAAAATACTGTTATTAAAAGCGGGGAAATATTTTTTTTATCAGAATTTTAGTGCAATAGTTCACCAAATATTTAATTTGCAGCACAGCTACTCTTGTGAACTGTATGGGGTTTGTACCCTGATTTGTCCCATACATGAATTCCTATGACTTGGTAACCCATAGGCGTCACTAGTGTATTTCTGGAGGGAGTCCCCTGGCGACTCTCAAACTATCTTGCCAAAATTGCTCTACACTCAAAGGTCACTAATGTTGTTAGACTGTGCCTGGTATTGTATGTATAGAGCAAATTCTGGTGTCATGTTATACAATAACTCTCACCATTCATACCATAAAGTACGCTACATAATACATTACATTTTTGAGTTAACCATAAACGTCAATAAGTACATAGTAATGGGGTAGAGTGGAGCCCGCCACACTGTGCACTATTTTTTATTTTAATTATCAGGGGAAAGCACCAAGCCATTACGACTTTATAGCACTGGGAAGGGGGTCAGGATAAGGATTTGGGATGGGACGGGGGGAAGGAAGGAATGGTGCCCAACCACTTGGACGGTCGGGGATTGAACGTTGACCTGCATGACGTGAGACCGTCGCTCTACCGTCCAGCCCAAGTGGCTGGCCACTGGGCATGAATGACACACTAAACCTTTACAAAAGATCAACTTGATACCAAGGTATCAGCAGACATTTGAAGGTAGATTTAAACAAAATTAAATGTAAACTTTAGCAAAATACAGAGTAGAATAATAGCTATTCAGAACTGCTATTTGTTTACCCAATCACTTGGGGTGGACAGTAGAGCGACGGTCTTGCTTCATGCAGGTCGGCGTTCAATCCCCGACCATCAAAGTGGTTGGGCACCATTCCTTTCCCCCGTCCCATCCCACATCCTTATCCTAATCCCTTCCCAGTGCTATAATGCCCGAAACGCTTTGCGTAATAGTGGCTTTAGGCATTGTATGTACTAGCTCTACCTATAAGTCAACCAATCTTTGTAAAAATTTATTGTATGTATGTACCTTACCTTAATAAAATATTATTATTATTATATTATTATTATTATTATATAGTCGTAATGACATGGCGCTTTCCCCCTAATAATCCCCTCCCCCTTCCTCTTGCCTCTCTCCAACATATTTTAAGTAACGTAACCTATGCCATGACTTTTACCATCCATATAGATTACATGAAGCATTGCATAACAAACCATATAATAATAAAATACAAATAAATGATTCAAGAAACTTACAAAGCACTTTGAACTCCGCCAGTATTAGCCTGACTGAGAATTTGGGTGAGTGTTCTTGGTTTTAACATTTTTTGACCCGAAGAGCGGCTGCCAGCACTCCTGTCTGAGCCTAAAATATGATTCGAGTATAAAAGATTTGCCTGGAGGGGACGACACGACAGCGGAGAGTAATTACAGGTTTCTAAATGGTAAATAATAGGGAGGAGTGAGAGACGTATGACACCATACACACACCAGCTGATTCACTCACAGAAAACGGGACGATGACCTTGTGGGAAGAAAATGACGTAAAATTCATTCATAAAGAATTATTTTCACCAGGTTATATGTTTCTATAAGAACAAATGATATTTTGAGTTCTGGGTATTTAAATAACTGCGCTGTAATGTGACTAGGGTCTTCTGATTGAAAATTACGCATTGTATTTTGCACTATTGTATCCGTTTTTAAGATTATCTATATATGTTTATGCAAAGTTTTGACAAATATAAACGAAAGAACTTTAAGTATAAAATGTAAATTGATGTAATTTGCTAAATGTTGCCACAATATTGAATTGCTATTTTTATGGAGAGTTGTAATTGTTAGGATAAATGGAATTTGAGACAATATTGGAACACAACAAACATTTCTTCGTCTAGTGCAAAATGGCGACGCCAAGCCCAAGAAAATTTCAGGAAAAGATAGCGTTACTGCAACAAAGAGAAGCCGAAGGAAAACTAGAGTATGAGCAGATTATGACAGAAGTCCAAGGGCTGACTAGAGCTGTACGTGTTATGTGTATCATTCCCATAAGTGTCTGAAATTTGATAGTGAAATTGGAAAACATTTCTTGTTTATTTCAAAGCATCGTATTTAATACAATGTATTAATCAAGTGTTGAGCAGAATACAATGTTGAAATACGCACGTTTAATTTTGTGTTATAGTACAACGTATTGTCAGTTACTGCTTTATCTTGTCTATCGTTTCCGTGATGGGTTGATCGAGACTATGAAGTAGCACCCTTTTTGAAGGTTCACAATGAATTGCTTAAGTTATTATGTATGTTGTGCAGTGACAGTACATTATGCTTTCTTCATGGCACATGAATGGGTAGTGTTATATAGTGCTGGGTATGCCACGTTGCCAAGAACACGGGTCAAGATCACTATATACAAAAAATGAATACAGTAATGAGTAATGTCATTGAGGCTCCACATGGAATACTCAAGGGAGTGAAGCAGTCTGGGGGAAGTATTTGAAATTTCCCTGTGTGCTTAGATATGAGAGCTGATATGGCATTTCCCTGCATGTGATATTTCAGGAATGTATATATGGTGCTTGTACGTCACTCGATTTTGCAGTTTGCGCAATTTCGAAATAGTATGCTTTTTCACAATTTTAAGATAGTGCACGAACTTAAAAAGTGGGAACGTTGTCATGCAAATGTGTAGTTTTAAAACTGCACGGGCTATTTGTTCCATATATGCCTTTGGGAGCTCTACTAAAACGTTTTTGTTAGTATCGTGCACGGCTGCCAGTATACTGGTAGCCTGCAATATTTTTATAGTGTGTGAATGAATTCATTGCATAACCTCTTTAACCTAACATAATCAACCAAACCTTCCATAATTAACCGTACCTAACCTAATTAACCGAACCTAACCTCGTGCAGCAATTGCCCTAAGAAAAGCACCAAATATTTAAAACGGGCATATGCGAGTCGGGTTGAATTAGTTCATTATGTTTAAGTATACATATAGTAAACTACATTGTCTACAGTACTGCGAGAATATTATGAGCCTTCAGTATCATGGTAGTACAGTAGTTAAACTAATCTCTGTGATACTATAAGGCATATCTGATTTCATTACAAATTACCGACTTAAAAAAAATAAATGAAAAGGGAGTTTCTGCATGCATATGTAAAAAGATACACATTAATGCAATCAAAATAAGAGAGAGGTATATATATATACTATAATACAATAAAAATACAAGAATGAATTAATTAAGGTATAGATAGGATAAATTTGAACACTTGATGTTAAGTTCGCATAACTTTTGAGAGGCAAGGCAATGTCAGTTACCTGATCATTGCACCTCTTACTTCAATGCAATGTGCCAGATATCTTTTTGTTATCCCATAAATTTGCTACAGTACCCTATTTTCTGGGGGTGGGGGGAGGGACCCTGCGACTGCCTGGAGCTATCCAGGCTGATATGGATATATTAGACTTTGGCATCGATGGGCATGGAGTTCTAGGCCTACTGGGGACCACGAGCCAGAACCTGGTCCCCTCGGAGCGATACGAGGATGACCTATAGAAACTTTGTGTGGTGGAAACATTTTATGTCTGCCATCGACTGGGTCAGGTATCCAGAAAGGTAAGCACCCAAAAACAAACCCCTATTCTGGTTAACATTGTTACTGAAAGCCAAACTAGTGGGAAAAACTCCGTAAATGAAAACAAGCAAATGAGCATGATGTAATCCCCCCTCCCCAGGAGGGGGAAGGGGGAGCCCCAGACCCTTGTGCTGGCTACCCACACTCCAGTTCTTCGGCTGATGTGCTTGTCAACGGTCGTGTGTCTCTGGCTATAGCATTGTTCCAGTTCTGTGCCCTTGTGGTGTGGTACTGTCTCTACAGGGGTGTATGACCCAGGAGTATATTTCTTCAGTACTTGGGTTGCATGCTCCTAGGGTTCCCTTCCCTAGGTGCCCTTCCCTAGTACTGCCCTTGGGGCCACCTTCCACAAGTCACCTTGGGGTCTTCCTCCATTGTGTCTTTTACTGGTCGGTGACTGACCACCCTTGAAATAGCTGAGGTTCCTGTGTTCCCTTGTTTGCCTCTGGGTAGGGGGTAGTTTTTGTCACTGGTTGGGGCACAGGGTTCTGTGCAGCTAGTTGTCACCTCACATAACGGCCGGTTCTGTTCTGTCTGGGTACATTGTCCTCTTGCGGGGTTTTATTTTATTTTTGTTTTCTTGCCTGGTAGGAATCTGCTTTCGGTTGATCACACCTGTTGTACTATGGAGGTCCTCCGCTAGGCCCCCGGGAGTGTACACATCCCGGGGGTTCAGCTTTAGCAGTTTGTTCAGTAGTTTTGGGCACCAGTTACCAACACCCTACCTGGGCTTTCCTTAGCAGAATACCATGACTAAGAGTCCTGGGAAACCCCACAGGGGCTCTGTAGTCCAATGAATGACACCCCTGGGTCCCCTCTCGCTTCGTGCAAGTTTGAAGGTTGTGCTGTCTCGTTGTCTCAGCGTAACACTCACCGGGTGTGCCTCTGTCATGCTGCCTGTTGGGTCTGTGACACATTCGACCCAGAGTCTTGCACGTTTTGATGCTTGTTCGTACTCCAGTTCACTCGGACTGACAATCATGATGTGCGGGTGCAGGCGGCTTCAGCGTTGCATGCTCGATTTAGTTTGCTGCAATGAGCTAGGTTGGTTGTTATCTCAGATGCCTAAGACTGCCCTACTTTGGTTATAGGCACCCGGTTTTGGGGGTATTGATCACCTCGACTTTGGTTCCGTCCACACCCCTTTGTTCTTCTCCTTCTGTTGTACGTCCTGGTCCTTTCCCCTTGCTTCTGGTTCCGAAGCGTCTGGGGGCTTCGAAGTCGGGGCAGGGTTTAGTTTGTGTTGAGACTCGGGCAGTTTTTGGGGTGCCTCCTTCTGGTGTGGAGACAGAGGCATTCGAGTCTGGTCCTCCGGCGAGAGCTTCTGGGTCTGACCAGTGGGCCCCCTTTGTTCCTGCTTTTTTGTCTGCCCCTATCTTTTCTTTAGAGGTGGGTTTGGAGGGTGGCTCGGACCCGGGTCCTCGTGGGGAGGTTCCCGGGAAGGGGTTGTCTTAAGGGCCTTGTGCCCCATTGGACCCCGGTTAGGTTTTTGTACCTTCGGAGCGGGGCTTGGTGTTACAGGGAGTGGGGTTATCTTTTTTCCTCCTACTCGTACGAGTTGGATTTGGTGTCTACCTCTTCCCGGGTTCAGTTCCGTGATCCCAAGGATTCTTCGGCCCCATCTTTCCGGAGGTTTTCGGCCTCCTGCATCCCTCCGCATGTGGTGCAGGAGGGCATTGCAGCTTACCTCCTGTGCGACCCGGATTATGCCTTCGAAATGGATCCTCATACTTTCATGTATGGTGCTTCCTGTCCCTACTCTGATCGTTATGAGATTCCGGAGTTATCCTGGCTTGCAGACTGCCCCTTTTTCTTGTTGGAGGCGTGGCATTTGTTCTGTTGGTCCAGCACGCTTGAGTGGTGCGAGGCTCATACAGTGGTTCAGGTTTTCCTGTGGGGTAAGTTTGAGCACCTCAGTGTGTGCTTGTTCGCCCCTGCCTTTCCTCGGGATGTTGGTATGGTGCAGCTTCATGTGCAGGTCACTTTCCTTTCAGCTACATTGGTCGCCGAGGACTTGCACGCCTGTGGCCTGTTGGCTTCGGCCTTGCGATTCTTTTCCCTTCTCGAGTTGTCCTCAAACTGGCTTGAGGAGGATGTGGAGGCGCTTGGGGCCACCCCTGGGTCTGGTTTGTTGGCCTCGGCGGTGCGTGCTTCATCTGCACTTTTTGAAGCTGTTTGCGCTGATCCTGCGGGATGTGGCATCGCTGTTTTTTGTGGGGAGCCCCTACGGCTCCCTGGAGCTTATCGGGCTAATGTATGTTATGTTAGACCGGGACATTAGCTATGGAGTTCAAACCTACCAGGGACCAGCGCCAGAACCTGGCCCCTTCAGAGAGGTTTCAGGGAGCAATGGCTCTGGAAAACCCCATTATGGTTGAGGTTTTTCCTTATCTGCCATCGACCGGGGTCAGGCACCCAGAAAGGTAGGCATAACAAAACAAACCTCACATGGTAAAAAACTACAGCAAAAAAACAAACAGGTAGAAACTCCCTACAATCTCAAGGAAACAATAAATCAATTTACTGCCGTGCCGGTCGTCCGCACAGCCCTCCCCTCCCTGGGAGGTGGAGGGGGGGAGGCCCAGACCTCACCATGCCGGCTGCCTTCAGTTCGTAAGCTAGTGTCAACCGGGATAGATGCTTCTCTGGCCTCAAATTCCTGGGTAGTGTTTGCCTCGTGTGGCGTTCTCTGCTGTCTTTGTGTGGTGTGCGGTGGCCAGGAGTACCTCATCAGTGCCGGGGCTGCATGCACTTAGGGGCTTCCTTCCCTAGGCGCCCTGTGAGTACTGCCCCTGCATGTCAGGGTTATCTTCCTTGGGGCGTTTGGGAACCGCTCCCGTAGGGGTTCTTGCTGCTCGGCATTTGCCTCGCCCTTGGGGCCAGCTGGGGCTTGGGTTCCTTGTTTGGCCTTGGGTAGTGGTGTTGTGCTGATAAGGGAGTCAAGGTGATGCGCGGCCTGCCACCAAGCGGCGACCGGTTCCTGTTGCCTCTAGGGACGGTGTACTTTTGCGGGGTTTTTCTTTTGTTTTGTTTTTGTTTGCCTGGTGGAGGTTCTGCCTCATGGGTCTATAGTTCCCCTGATATTGTTTTGGTGGCCCTCTGCTAGGCCCCCGTGCTTGTACACGTCCCAGGGGATTTTCAGTGTTATCATCAACCCTTGTTTGTTTGGGTTTCTTAACCGGTTAGCAACACCTTGCCCGGGCTTCCTGTTGTTGTTACCCTACGGGCCCTGGAAACCCCTGTCGGGGCTCGGGGACCCATGGATGCGTCTCCCAAGTTCCAGCCTGCCTTGTGCGGGTTTGAAGGTTGCATTGTGCCCTTGTCTCAGGGTGACAGTCACCTGTTTTGCCTCCGTCATGCTGCCTGTTGGGTCAACGAC